TGGTTTTATCGATAAGTCACTGCTCTCTAATTGGCGGTATCATTACGTTATACATTGGCAGGGCACACAGGTCACAAGTTATAACAGTTAATATCACTTATTGTTTTTTACTTTATAAAAACTATATAAATGAATAAATCAATCAATAAACAATTGATTTGATTGATTGATCGATTAACTTTATATTATCTATTCGATTTTATAAATTGGACTGACTAACAGACCAAAATAAATTCAATTTTGTTGTATTACTGACAGGCTAATTCATTCAATTACTAATGACCAACCAACCAACCAACATACTAACTAACTAACTAATTTCTAACTGTTTCACTCAAGTCGATGTAAACAACAATACAAAAAAAAACTATATACATATGTAACATCATATAATAGAGAAAACATAATAAAACGAACAATGTACAATGGGGACAACAACAACAACAAATAAACTGAATACAATCGGAAAAAGAAAAGAAAAACATACAAAACAAACTATTTAAAAGAAATTATATATAATGAATTAGATATACAGAAGAAAAAACAAACAGTAACAAGCATATTTACAATGTGTATATATGAAATTTAATTTAATTTTTTTTTAATTATTTTCCAAATAAAACATTGAATCCTATAGGTAATATGAAAACAAACAAAATAAAAAAGAAACAAAACTGAAGAAAAAAACTTTATTTTTAAATCTTATTTTTTTTTAAATATTTATTTCAAATTCCCCCCCCTCCATTTTTTTTCTTTTCTATTCCAAGAATTTCGGTCAATAGAAAAAGACATAAATCGAAGTAAACTGAAGTGGTATTGTAAAATGAAAAACGAAAATAATTGAAATAAGAAAATACTAAATAAATGAATAATAATAATAATAATAATAATAATGGAAACTAGACAGAACAAAATTATCGAAACACGAAAAAGAAACCAACAAAGAAACTAATCAATTTTGTTATTACCTATTCTGTAAACAAATGTTTTTGTCAGTAAATTTTGTATATGTATGTATGTGAGTGTGTATATATGTATGTATGCACGTGTGTGTGTGTGTGTGAATAGAGTTGATTTACGGTAAAATGAAAACAAATCATCAATCAAAAAAAAAATGAGAGAGAATAATTATTCACAAGAAAACTAAAATGAAATAAATAGATAGAGAGAGAGATATTTGTTGTGTTATTTTTTTTGGTTAGAATAAAAAGAAAAAATTAGAAAATGAAAATATTTTTTTTGTAGAAAAAAAAATTGACCAATTATACAGAAAAAAAAAGAAACTTTAAATTTGTTTTGTTAAGGTCAGTATTGATAAAATGACAGATTAAATTATTTTTTTTTTAAAATGTAATTGGCTATTTTGATGACCTTTAATTTCACTCATTTTACTATCAAGATAAAAACGAACTCAATCATACTATCGTTTGTTTGTGGTTTTGAACAAATTTGTATTCATGTAAATTCATATAAAATTATATTGTACATATTCATTAAACTGATCAGTGAATTTATCCTCTACAATATACTAAGTTACATAGAACACAACAATTGATTTTGGTTGAAATATTTACTCAGTCAATTTGATCATTTTGACAATTTTATTCATTGATTGTGGAACAAAAGTAGATATAATTCCACTAGAATCGAAGAAAATCCTATAAAAATCTATTAATTTTAAACGGATACTGACCAATATTAAAGGTTATTAAGCAAATGATAATCGATTTAGTTCAGTAATTATATATGAATCATGCAATTTATAAACGATTGCACACGTTGAAATCATTAGTCAATTGAAGCTACACCACCATAGAAAACCTGGAAGCACTGTACGGCCGTTTCGCCGTAATATGGGACTCCTCAGCAGTACACACCCACGATCCCGCACCCCGCTGAATCCGAACCCAGAACCTACTGGTTTCGCGCGCAAGCACTTAATCACTAGACCACTGAGCCGGTATCCAATAGTGTTAATGTTTAACTCCAACCAATCCACGAAGTTGCGCCACCGTACACCATTGTCTTCAGTGAGCTGATATCTCACAACAGACGTGGTTGAACTTCACTGGTAACGGCTTCTCACTAGAACTCCAAGAGTATCTCCTGAAGTCAGTCACTAGTGAGTATATGTTGATTATTATCAGAATGGGTTTGGTGGAGATTTTTAGAAATTTCACAGGTTGGAATCATGAGTCAATACTAGGACGAAACGGCCGTCCAGTGATTCCAGGTTTTCCATGATGGTCTAGCTTCAATTGACTCATGATTTCAACCTGTGAAATTTCTAAAAATCTCCACAAAACCCATTCTGATTATAAATGATTCACAATTTAATAGTTGAGATCACAAGTTAATTGAAGCTAGACCACCATAAAAAACGTGGAAGCATTGGATGGCCGTTTCGTCCTATTATGGGACTCCTCAGCAATGCGCACCCGTCCAATACTTCCAGGTTTCCCACGGTGGTCTAGGTTCAATTGACTCATGATCTTAACTATTAAAATTACTATAATATCCACAAAATCCCTTCTGATGTCTTGAAATCGTCAACTTTAAATAATTTAAGGTTCTTAATACATGTTATCGAAGTAACAAAATCGACAGCAGAATAGTTGTCCGTCATAACTTGACTCGTAATGAATTATCCAGTTTATGTTATTTCATGATGAGAATTATATATAAATAAATCAAGTATTGAATAACATTTCTAAAAAGACTACACAACTACAATGAATCATATTGGTAAGTAGTTTCGTGATATTGATTTTCTTCACATTACATTGTCATCCATATAGGCTTCGAAAATCTAATATCGATCTGTAGTTCAAAAAACCTTTCAAATGTCTTGTCAAGTAAAGGATGAAAATAAATTTGATAATTGATTAGGTCATAGTTCATTTGTAATGATAATTCATTTATCATTATTCACTAACCATAACTGCAAGATATTGATTATTTGAAGAGTATTATAAATCAATATTGATAAATACTCACAACATATGTGTACACATAATTACTTCTATTACCAATACATACAGTTCCTGAAATTAACTTTCTAATTTGTACATTCAGTATACTGACTAAATAGTTCTGTCTAATAAAGCCATTGCCTTATATATCCTACTAAGTATAGGACAAAAACTTCGCATTTAAATGAGAAGAATCGTTTCAAAGTTATTAAGCTGGAATTTTTTTCAAGAAATGAAATGGCAAAATTTAAACTAAATGATATCATTTAGAATGTTAGTTTGTAGAGATTGGTCATTAAATCTACAAATAGAATACTCGAGTTTATACAAAATACTTGGAACATCATGTACTCTAGTTAAAACGTAATGAACCTAATGACAAATTTAGTATGATTTGTACCATCTTAGACTACAAAAATAAGAACTGGCATTTTCCACTTTGAGAAAACTTACTTTATTGAGATTGTCAACAAAAACTACTTCACACTCAATGATGCTACTAAACGCGCACTAATAATTAAACTCGCATCTAAAATATATGTTAATTCACAATACTGGTTATGTGGAGTTGAGTAAATCCATCAAAACAAAGTATACACACTTTCCCCGAGTATGATCTACTTTTTTTATTCGAAACAAGTTAGCACTTCTAGTGTGCAATTAGTAGCGTTGTTCTCAGCAAAATAAATTGTTGGCTGAATTCGGTTATGAAAAGTACTTTGATTCGTGTAATGTATGTATCGTGACAGTCAAAATCACCATGGAGCCTGGCACAAATGCGCTTTATATCAATTTGCATTACCACATTAAGTTGAAATAATTGTGCTGCCAATAAGGCTAAATATTATAGTTTGTTCCCACGACAGATTGCTTCTAACATTATCATGACACCTAAGATTGTACGACGATGTAAGTGCAACTTGAGTATGTCCAAAACAACTCAATCGCCGAACGTTAACAAACTCACCAACCGAATATGCATATATCCATAGCATAAGCGTTGCTCAGTCGGTGACTTCACGACACATGAGCAATGCACCTTTTATTTCATATACCAAGTTTCGTAACATAAAGTATTATGGATAACCATCCTTTGGTTGGCTAACATTTTGACTACGTTGAAGGTGGCGCAGGTTGAAGTGAGTCAAGCGAGCTTCTCCCAAACACTAACCTACCAAGGTTGAGAATTCTGTGTGGTATTTTCCAGACTGACTTCAAGGACCGACGAAGGTCAAAATAACCTGTTGCGGATATATCTAAGGATATGAACACTTGTCTCTTACTCTGTTTAAGGTCAAGTTAGTGAAGAGTAGGCGAGAATGATAAGGTAACGGCATTCCCTTCAAGTTCTTATTGTATCATTTGGACAGTACATACGCGATTATAATCACACTAGAACCAAGTGTGTGTTTAGAAGACAGCACACATAGATGGTACTGGGTTCTAAGATCTCACCTAGCCCTCAATTTGACACACGATTCAGACATTGGAAGACCCGTTTCTTCTGTAGGTGCCTGAAAAGGAAATTGGATTAGAGGTGGTCTTAGTGACCTGAGAGCGTGACCCCCGAGCCCAAGTGACAACTGCTTGAGGTCAGTCACACACGACCTTTCTGTGGGTAATTTTTGTGTCAGCCCCGTACTTGTTGAGACCTTACTGCCGGAGATGGATATCCGTGAGATAAAGCGAGGTGTGCATTTTTAGGGTCAACCTTTTCTAACCCCACCCCTCCTTGTGAGAAGGCAACATCGCTGTCATGCTGGTTGTCTGAAGGAAACACCTTACTGCTGCCACACCTCTGTACAGTCAGCAGTACGACTTCGCCTTCGGACCTTGGGTTTGTTGCTTTTAGTCTTACCGCTCTTCAACCGACCTGTCTGACATTGTAGGACCTTGAGGAACGGTTGTTCCATCCAGTATAGCTCGGTTGCTTCAACACGATAGGCAAGCCCGACCACCACGTCAAGGTAGCAACAACGGTCGGGGAAGACCCATTTATTTTGAAGTGACCTCAGAAGACCAGGAAAAACATTCTGTGAGCCCCATACGTTATCAATAATGTCAAGTGTGAAAGGACTAGAGATATGAGTTGACAATGAAAACAGAACACTAAGTAGACTTGATTGTGAACAGTGATCAGTTGAAGGTACAAGTATGGTTGTCACTCTCCAACTGCCTAAAACGTTAAAGGATACTTCTTCGGAGACCCAAACAGGGAACTGCATTAGTAGTGGTCTTGACAATTTGAGAGCAGGACTGCAGAGCTTAAGGAACAAATGCTTGAGGCTAGTCAAAGCATTTTTATGGGATTCGATGTCAGTTTGGTACTTTTAAAGACAACAACGGAGATCCCTTTGGAGGTAATGAACCAAGCTACTTCTGAGCCACACCTTTTCTAACCCTTACACATTCCGTGGTGGGGAGGCACCAACGCTGCGGATCTTGGTCGACTGAAAAAACACCATGCTGCCGTCAGATCTTGAGTTTGCTTTTTTTAATATTACAGCTTTCTAACCAACCCGTCCGGCACGGTGGGAACTAAGGTAACAGATGTTTCAGCCAACTAAGCTCAATCAATCATCATGATGTGCAAATATGACTATAACATCGAGGTGCCAGTTGCGACCGAGAAATTAGACTTACGACGATTCGAAATATCAACAAAAAAATCCCGACGAGAATAACACACATTTCTAGATAAATCCAACCCTTATAGTAGGAAAAGGAAATTATACTCAAAGAAGCAATAATAATTTTACTGATTACCTTCTACAGATCAATAAATGTAGGAATACATAGATAATAATTTTTACCTAGCCACATTAAGAAATCTAAGAGCATACAAGTTGAAGACTATTTTGGTCACATTAATAGTGTAACATATTCACGTAGAGGAATAACGCATAAATAGATATGAAGATAATTAGGAAGGGTATAAGAATAATTATAGAACTATAAGACAAAGTTATTCTTTGGACAAAATGACGTTACTTACTATAAGAAAGATATGTCCTTTAATCAAAATGAGACCGGATTTGACTTGTTGGATAATAATGTTTTAGACATATAAATCGATCAATGGGTATTATATATACCATGAGATAAGAAACAAATTAACACACAGACACAATAAAAATCACTGACTGAAATGATGCATAATAAGTTTAAGAGTGGTTAACAGAATGAAAATTCTTTCACTATATGATAACCGTCGTTATTGTCGACAACAATGATAAGGAATCAATCATATAAATGCAATGGAAAAAGAAAAACGAAGTACACAAGAGTATGTATGTAAATACGGTACACACGCACACACAAAAATCCCAAGAAAAAATATGATAGGACCAAGTAGAAAAAGTATGTGTTGTTGTTGAAAGAGAACTTACGAGATACAAAAAAGAAAAAAACAAGAAAAGAAACGTTTATTTGTATCCCAAGATGAGATAATTTATTATAATAAAAGATTTAGGGTGATTATATACAATATTGTGATGCTATGGTGTACAAACAACATAGGTCGAGCGTATAATTATTTTGGAATAACTGAAAAATTGGTGAGTGTTGAGTAGGAGACAACGGCATAAATGCATTTCTCTTTCATACGTACTGTATTGTCGTCCATCAGCAAGATTTAAATATTTCTTTTTCTCGAGTAAACCAATTGGAAAATAAAAACAAAAAACGCAGCTAAATTCCACATTATGGAGGTAAATGCAAAGATTCATAATAATAACAATTATTATTATCATTATTATTATACTGTCAATGAAGAATGATGATCAGATTAGCGACCAGATCACCTCCGTTGTGCATTTTTCTATGAGTATAAGAGATGATGATTTATAGTGCTAACATTAGCAACAATAACTGCGAATCAATAATGATGAGAACAAAGAGAACGGTGAGTATTCATATAAGAAGTGGGAAAGTATTTTTGTGCATTATTTCTGCGAAATTTTGACACATAAAAATCATCATCAACAACAATGTTACTCACCTATGGAAAGCTAACAGTGCGATCACACACACAATCAAGAAAATTTAGAGGAAAAAAACAGTTACAAGTAGAAAATATCAGCAATGATTATACCAGTAAAAGTACTAACAATAACAAAAACAGTAATAAGTAAGAAACATTAAGAGACATTAATAAACTAATTAATGTCAGTTCATACCGGATAGTTGTGATACAATATATCATGTAGGATTATAGTCATAAAGAGAGGCGAAAAGGATCATTAATGAAATGAATGATCTCAGATCATTAGTATAAGATATTGTTGCATTTCGCACACAAATTTAAGGAATGTCATTAATTTATCGTTGAGAAGTGAAGATAACCTCATACAAATTTGCACGCTTATCTCCGGAACCGGTAACCACAAATTTATCATCTAAGGATATGTCACATGTTAGAACTGACGCCGCTTCTTTCGTCTAGCAGTTAAGAAAGCAAAATGTTATTATTTAAAAATGATGCAGAAAATAACAAATTTGAATAAAACAACTTTCAATTAGCTAACTACATACACGCTTGTCATAACGCAAAATTGACAAACAAAGTTTGCTGTCAAATTGTTCTACAGGGGCAATATTTGCTACGATAAAATGTGCACATTCATTAATTTGAAGCTGTTACCAGTTGACGAAATTTGTAAGTTGCTCAAAAAGTAGCAAAACGTCCTGCTGTTGAGAGGAAATGGAATGGAACTATTTGAGTTCCCAAACCGAAGTGTGACACAAACGTGTGACCAAGTAGCTGAAACCTGGATCAATTAACAACCGTTGTACAACGACCTCGAATCAATCAAATACACTGCGATTTACTTACCACATAAATAAAAAGCGTGTTCTTAAATAATATAAACTTCAGTACCGTCTACAAGCTTGTGGTTCTGGTACAACAGATACCACTTAATTTACTCGGATCTGTTAGTCTTTTTAAAATATTTATGCTTCAGTTACCTATACGAGTGGATAATTAACGATTATTGTTACCAGACTAATACATAGAATATCTTTACTGTCTTGACACTGAGAAACAAAAAGTGAAAAGTTACTTCATAAACCACATGGTAACAAGTAGAAAGAAATGCTAGTATCGATGGGCGTTGTCATTTATAAACATTTTAAACTTTCCACAATAAACTACTTAAAAAAGGAATCAAACTAAGCTGTTTTTTTTCTTTATATTAAATATTAGTATCTACATTTTGAGAAATGTCAATTAAAGTTAAATGTAGACGTGACGTCTCATCAAAAGACTGTACTAAATTGGTAAATGATAAATACTTTGACTAATGTACACTACATAAATACAACACAAACGAACAGCTACAAATACGTACGATAGGATATTGATTACACACAAAGGTTAATAGATTAAATACACTAAACCTATTCAGTTTATTCGTTAAATACCATCCTACTTTCAGTAATTCCTACTGTTTAGACGTGAAACATTGTAATTACAGTAATATTAAAAGATTATAATCATAGTCTACTCAGAAAGATGTAAAGGTAGTGAATGATAAGTATTTACTGATGAAAGCAGATGGTTGAGCATGTGAGTTTACCTACCTAAAGAAAAATAACGTCCGGTTCAAAAGCAAATGCTAGGAAATCAGTGTAAGTATACATTAATTTCCGACTACTAAGAAAAAACATTCAATGAATTTGCATAGATCTCGTATGTGTTAGATTAGCAGTTTACCGCCTCTTACTACAGGATACAAAAGGGAAAATAGGATTAACAAGGAATAAGTTGTCACTTTTACTCTAAACTCAGTATACTAAAGAACAATGGTATGTGTAATAAAGATAACTGAAACTAATTCTCTTTTTTTTAAAAACTCAAGATACGTGATTACCACATTGATGAAATTACTTACTTCAAGAAGACAGGCACCATATGGAGTTCGCCAAGCATTAACTTGATGATCTTTACCTGTTGTAAGGAACCAGTCAGCATGATGTGCAAACCTTAAAGCTAACACACAACTTTCATGATGAGTAAGACGAAAATGTTGAGGTTGATTAGATCCAGTATGATGGGATATCGGGGAAGGATTACCACTCCCACTTCCGGATTCTTCACGTGGTACATTATAATTAACAGGGAATGCTGAAACAGGTGGTCCATCTGGTCCTATAGCTAGAACTTCGACCTCAGATGACTCCAAACCCACCGCTAACCAGCTTTCAATTGATAGTGACTTATTGCTTCCACTGACGAACGACTGTGGACTAACTGTGTCGCGAGTACCTCCCCCAGCACCAGCACCACCACTAGAGGTAGACTCTCCGTCAACCGAAACTGGAGAGACTGATTCAGCTTGGCGCCGAGTTGGGGCCATATGTGAAGATAAGCCAAGTGAAAACACTTGGGACTTGAATTCAATGTGACAGACATCTCGTGAAGGCTGTAAATTCAGAAAACAATAACTGGTGGATACATGAGGCTATTTTGAAATAGCAATAAAAGGTTAGAAAGTCAATTAGATTCATACGAATAAAGAACTTAAAGAAAAAAGGGCTGTAGTCTAATAAATAACAAATAGACAGGTGAAATGCTATTGAGACTAATCACTGACCTAAATAATGACAGTATACTTCATAATATGCTATGCCTGAGGTATCACTGAATAATCAGCTGTAATAAAATATTAAATTAGTAGAAACTAAATAAACTGATGGGCGAGACTGTAATTAATGGAAGAACAAATCAGACTTAGGATAGCAGGTCTTGGATTTTGGCGCGAAATTCATTCATCGATTTAGCTAGATAGCGTTTTGGCACTTTAGTTGATGTCAGTTCGAGATAAAAAAAACCCGAATCTAATTCCTAACCCCAACCACTAACTGTGAATCCTAATCCTATTTCTTTACACTGATCTATGATCCTTATTCAGTCCTAATAAGAGGTGGATATTTCAATGTCACTTTAACATCGCTCAAAAGTCATCAATAGTCTCACCTCAAAAAGATGTGCAATTTAAGTGATATTCTGTTAGAGAAGTGGCATTAACAACAAAGATTATTGAGAGATTCCGATTAAAGTATTCATTTTTATATACTACGCGTGAAACACAAAACACTATAATATGTCCGAAGTTTTAAAAGTCCATATGAGTTATGTGTACGAGACCGTTGAGGATGTATTGATGCATTGACAAATGAGGAACTAAGACAGCTACCTTTTATTACAAGATGTCATTATTTTAAGTGACCGTTTATTCGTTTTTTTACATCTGAAACACAACAAGCAACGTCAAGTATAAAAATGATCAGTTGAACTGTGTACTTAATATGTTTTCTTACTAATCCATAACAAGATGCAACTTTATTAAACAGATATCTGTAAACTTTTTGAGTTGAAAGAAAGAACAGAGTGATGTCAAAAAGAAATAAATCAAAAACATTATAAAATTAAATATCGAACATATTTTAATCATTATTTTAATTCTACTGAAGAAAAACACTTGAAAAAAGTCTCATTCTACATTTGTGTACGTACAGGTGTGTGTGTCTAGGAATAGACTAGCAAAGAGCGGAAAACTGCTGATTGGCCAGATATATTATCAAGTAACTAACTATATTGTATAGAGAACATACTTACACATGTAGGCAAACATGACCGAGATAAGTTTTGTATACTATGGTGATACTTGCAGATAATAAAATATGCAAGCGAAAGAAAATCTAAAACCAGAACGATGAGAATCAAATATTAATTAATATCTTTCTGTGAAAAATATTCCCAATTCTTACTTACCAACACCAGCAATATATATATATATATATATATATATATATATATATATATATATATATATGTACAGACAGGCAACAATGACAGTAAATAACAAAAAACACAACTCTAAATGAGGAAGAGAAGGACAGTAGTATATAATATTGGGTTCCTTGTAAGTTTTTATGAAAGAAAACAACTGAAATGAAATTACAGAAGTGGGAAGATGTAGGGAAGCGTTAAAGTTTTCTTAAAGTGGTAATTTTTCATTATATATATATCATTAAACAAAGAATAATCTGTGTGGATATATATTAAACGCTACTTATCTATTCTCTGTTCCGTTAGTTAGTATAACAATCACATATGAGATATATCATATTTGAATGAATATGAGAACTAAGTAACTAACAGAAAGTTCAAGATAATTTGTTAATGATCAAAAATTTAAGAAATAAGAGCCTTCATATCAGCTTGTAGAATGAATATCATAAGATACTGAAGCCACTGTGTTTGCAACACACATGCACATAGTAATCATCTTTAGAAGAAAGGATGTATAGATAATTTTTGGTAATACCTAATTACACAACAGGATGAAAAAGAAGGCTATTTAGTTAAGATGGATAGAATAGGATAGGAGTTGAAGTGACTGGACGGTTGAAAAAAATTTCTTTTAAACGAACACACAATAACTTTTTCATTCTCAAATAAAAACAAAAATACGAATAATTTACGCAGAAAAAAATTTCTAAAATGAGAATAAACCGGGAAAGAAGTATCGATCGATAGATAAACAAATAAGCGAATCTTTAAATCAACATAAAACTAAGTTGAAAGAAAACGTTGAACATGATAATATGAGTAAAAGAACTCCACTAATACAAACATAATATAACAAATTCAACAAATAAGTGCACAGACAAATTAAAACCCAAAGAGTCCTTCTACTATATGCCTGATCTAGTTAGCATAATGTCGATCGTTTAGCACGAAATCAAACAAGCTACAGTCAGTCAGCTACAACGTAGGACCAGGCACATTTATGCATCGGTCCAAGTTGCCATACCTCATTAACACAACAAGATGGACACCTGATTCATAAAAGTAGTTAATTCAGAAGTGGTAATATATAAAAGAAAGATTGCATATAAGGATATAGTACAGGAAGAAAGAATTAGTTCGTAGAAAGAAAGATATGAAGCGATTTTAATCTCTTAGTTTAAGGGAAGACAGAGAGTGTATACACCGACGCCATTGTGATCGATTCTGAGCCATGTCAACAAGAGTCTCCAACCACTGGTTACAATAGTCACGCGGACCCCAACCAAGTAGTCTGCATCTACCAACATGGCTCAGACTAGAAGTTAGTGACTTCAAGCACTGATGTCACGTTTTGGTTTGGCAACCCCTAAATTTCTTTTAACCATACCCAACACCGGTTAGCATTGCACGTCGTGGTAATCGCTGTTCAGTCATACGCAACACGTGGCCCAGCCATCTCAGTCGATGAAGATTCACAACCTCATCTACTGATTTATCACCATTCCCTAATACTCTGCGTCTAGCCTTACTATTACTTACCTGGTGATCCCATCAGATGCCAGCAATATTTCTAGGGCATCTGTGGTCAAATTCTAGTAGCTTACGAGTGTCTTCTACTCTTAATGGCCATGTTTCGCTGCCGTAAATTAAAACAGAACGGACTGCCGCGCAGTATACTCGTCCTTTTATTGATAGACGGATATCTCGCCTTCGCCACAAGTGACGTAAGTTGGCAAAAGCCAAACGAGCTTTACGAATCCGTGCTGAGATTTCATCCGATACCAACCCATTAGGGCTGATCAGACTTCCAAGATAAGTGAAGTTGTCAACGCGTTCGAATACTTCACTCCCTATCCTTAGTTCAGGTGTTAACGCAGACCAATCCTGAAGCAGCAGCTTGTATTTAGAGGGAGAGAAGCTCATTCCAAACATTCTGGCATTGTTGCTTAGTGCTACCAAAAGACTGCATTTTGTCAGCGTCTTCACCAAACAGGACTATGTCATCTGCGTATCCTAAGTCGATAAGTGGACCTCCAGGAAGGAGATCAATACCCGAGAATTCAGTAGACGAGAATGTTATTTCCATCAATAGGTCTATGATGAAGTTAAAGAAAAATGAAGAAAGTGGACAGCCTTGACGGACACCACTTGAGGTTGCAAAAGCAGATGACAGTTCGCCATAAGCTCTGACACGACTGGTAGTGTTCGAGTAAAGAGCCTTCACAATGTTGATGTAATTCTGAGGTACGCCTTTCAATGACAGACACTGCCACAGAATCTCGCGGTCTACCGAGTCAAATGCTGCTTTTAAGTCAAGAAAGACCATCACTGTCAGACGCCGACAAGTATGCCTATGTTCTAGAACCTGACGAATGGTGAATATGTGGTCGATGCAGCCACGACCAGGTCTGAAACCAGCTTGATTCTCTCGTGTTTGTAGTTCACGAGTCTTAGTTAGGCGTCTGATAATTATCTAGGCTAGTATTTTAGATACTATATTAGTTAAGCTAATCCCCCTATGGTTGTCACAGGATGATTTTAACCCTCTCTTATATATTGGGACGATAAGTGATTGTGACCAGTTAGATGGGATAACGTCTAACTCCCAGATCTTAGCTAAAATATTAGTCAACCTAATAGCTAAAATCGGACCACCATCCTTAAAGACCCCTGAAGCCAATCCATCTGGACCAGCTGCCCTTCATAGTTTCAGATTAACTAAACAAGCTACAACTAGTCCATGCAAGTTGATCTCAACTCTATGCATGAACTTACCATGGACTCGTTAAAAAAGTGAATGTTCATTATACACTTACATTTCCACGAATATCCCAGCAACGGACTTTATGATCCAAACCACCTGTCCACAAACGATTGCCATCTCCAGTAATTTCAACACATGATGTCCCATCAACATGTCCATGAAACTGGTGAACAATACTCTGATTATGTATATCCCAAACAGCAACTTGGCCATCGGAGCAGCAACTAGAAAGAGGAAAATATTTTTGCAAATAAAAATTCAAATAAACCAAGTTTTAAATTATAAAAGCGAACAAATACAGTCCTATAATTAAGAAATGAATTATTCCCTAACCAACTTAAATTTCGATAAGCCAAGACTTTACATGCGACAAACGACATAAATTGAGGAAAGTTGGATTTTAAAGTCTACGTTTCCAGTTTTTATGTTAAATTATATTTGGCAAGATGTGACGAATAATTTACGTAGGTTGCTGAACGATCAAAGTTGATGGTTTCTGGGAGTTTAAATATCACGAAGTCAATGATTCACTTTGATGTTATGAAGAAAATATTACAACGATTAGCGCACAGTTCTTTAACCGTTTATAAAAATGGATTATAGCTAAACTGAAATATTCATTTTTAGCCTACAATAAGCCTTTCAAAAAGTAAGCAAACAGAAAGAGTTATTTGATTGTTGGGAGCCTCTTGATAGTCTCCCGACGTCGGGAGAAGGGCGAAAAATTCATGCTTAATCAGAATCGAATAAAAACTCACAAACATCCAGAAAAACTAAGGATTACATGTCACAATTTGATTAGATAATTATTTATTTTGTTACTAAACCCATTATATTTCCAAAAGCTTCAATAAAGTCACTGCCACCTGTGAACCTGTAAATAAGCTTGTTTTCTGTAAATAAATTAACTCTAAAATAATCGGACTGCCTAACGAACATTAATTTTATCGCACTAGAATTATCAGATTACAGCACGATAGTGATAAAAGCAGAAAATTAAATTTCTACTGTACACAATCGATAAATTTGTAAATGTAACTCAAAATTACCTATAGGCCAGTTTTCCATCAAGCGAAAGTGCAAGTGCATAGCAAGCAGGCGCTTCAAATGTCAATTCAGCTTTACGTCGTCCTGGACCGTTTAAATCCCAAACAGTGAGTGCGTTAGATTCACCACCAACTATAAGACCAGAAACATCCTAAAATCGTGAAACCAAAAAGATCGGTAAATAAAAATCCATATTTTATTTAAATTTTTTGTCAGTAAATATGATATAGTAAAGTTATCTTACCGGGAAAAGTTTGATAGATCTAACATAGCTGTCGTAGCATAAACAGTCAAAAGTAGCAAGGGGAGTAATATCTCTATTAGCAAGTGGGGCAGTTCCAGAGTTAGCACTAATCGATGCAAGGTCCCATAACTTGACGCTGCCTCGAGCACCAGTATAGGCAAAGTGAGCGGGGATAGAAGTGGTGTGATTTGAACCTGGAGAACCAACTGTAACACTATCAGTATCACTTCCAGCATTACGAGATCCAATACAGGTATCAGCTGAGGCCAGTGAAGAAGCACGTCCTACTGGACATGGACCTAAAGTGACAGCACAAACGACGTCACCATGAGGTAAACTAGCAAGGTGTTGAAGTCGACGAGGCAATCCCTGAGCAGTAGTCGCTCCGGGAGCGGACGCCAATGCACACGGTCGAGTTTGTCCATTAGGCAACACTATGAATGAATAAGCACCGGGACCAGACTGAACACTAAAATAAAGGGTAAGACAAGATATATATATATATGTAAAAAATGACTAGAAACTGAATTAATAACATTTCAAAACGAAAGCATAGAGTGTAAAAGACTATGTTTAGAAAAATTTACGAGTTTTGAAAATAGTACATTACCTATCCGATTAAAGAGAAATTAAACGACAGAAAACCAATGAGCTTTGACTTATTTATCCTCACAGAACATATCAATCAAAATTATATGTTTATCTAATATCCGTCCAAATAGGGACGCATTTTATATCATAATGACATGTTAGCAAAACATGAAATCAACATCTAACTCTATATAATATGACACGTATAGAAACAAAGTGGTTTATATTTAAAAACACAGTAGTGTAAGCACATTCAACAGCATTTAAAAAGTTGAATAATAAACGGTTTCGTGTGTCCATTTTATCAAAATAGTTAACCGGAAATCGTTTCAACTGGAAGACGTTTCATCCTTAAGTCAATTTTGGTCAGTAACATTTTTACTGAATACACTTCTGTAAGGGATTTTATTTATTTATTTGAACACATAGATATTGTTACAAGGGAGCACCAGATACATATGCGCCACACTAATCTCGTTTTATTTGTGTGAGGGCTGTGATACTGCCCGGGTGCCCAAACCGAAGTCGGCGGTTTCCTTAGGGGGCCACATCCGGATCCTTTGACCTAAAGGTCTGATCCACAAGGCAGTGGAGCATCGTAAGGAGATGCAGTCTCATGGTAGCCGGTGACTAATAATTGGTTCATACGCCATTTGTTCCCTCAGGATACTGGAGCCTATGTGCACTATTGGTTTGGAATCAGGGTTTTACAACTCCCCTAGGTTGACTCTCCGTGTCCGCCAACCCGGTTAAGGCACCGAACATTCACTTTTCGTCTTTCCAGTTTCGTGAACAGTGTGGGAGCGAGAAGGCAGTGAGTAGGACCTGTGTGGCAGAGGCTATATACGCGTGGCTGGTATTATGTCAAGCCCACATAGGTCATTCTAGCCTCTGGACAGATCGATCTATTCATTCTCCAAAAGCCACATTTTTACCCTGTCACTTATTCGTTTATTAACCTTGACTATTTTTATGTAGGCGTATGTATGAGCATTTCTTATCTAACTCACTACATGTCTGGGAGTTAGCTTACATGTCTTCTACACCGGGCGTCACTTTGCTTCGTTTGTCCAGACCAACGGTTGTATGAAATACACATTCCAAATTCATTCTCGCATCTGACTTATTTAATTCTGTTATTCACTAACGCGAATTAAGTCGATAATTATATAAGAGGACTGACGACATGTATATTTCGATGAAAGTCAGAAACCATCTAACTAGAGTTAGATATAGGGTCACTAAATTCCATATGCAAGGGAATATGTTCAGTTATAAATTGTATTTACTACCTTAACAACTTAAATACTGCAAGAAATTACTGCTATCTAGTGTGCTAAATAGATATTGGGGCCAAATAAATGCAAATTTTTTACAAAATATGACGAAAATTTTTGTAAACATGAGTCAACATGAACTTCTGTGTTTAACATAAACTATTTTCAGGATATCACGAGACAATTTTTTTATCTGTTCGAACCGTGAACATGCATTTATCTCGAAGTTAGAATCTCGAGAAATATCTGTGAATAGAACGCGTGAGATAAATGTAACCAAGCTAGTGTTAAACAGGAAACTTCTAACAAAGAAAAAACCACCAGCAAACTATTACTTTCGTATAGAAAGAATTCAAAAACTCAGTCATTGTTTACATACACTCCATCCCCGTAAGCTTGTAGGAGAAACGATAGTAACAAGAATAGGTAGCAGTTATCTACAGGTATAATTAAGGTCCGAAATATGTTTAATCTAAAATTAATTAGTATATATATACAACAGCCCTTTTATTGATACAAACATGATTTCTGGAAGAAATCTAACACTAGTTTTACTTTACATAAACTTACTTTTTAGATGATTGTTTCCACCGGGTTGAAGCTGGGACCTCAGACGCCTGAAAAATATGAAGGAAAAGGACGAAGCATGAATTATCCACCAAACTGAAAACAGTAAGATGGTAATAAATTGGGCGAAGTATCTCAAATTAGGAACCGAAAATTATTTTACAACACTTAAAAAGTACACTGCGGTAACCAAGCTGGTGAACTCTTCTAATCAAAGTACGTAAACTTATCGATGGATGTACTTTATTTAATTGTGGCCATTAACTGATATGGCAACTGTCAAGTCTCATAATTCCGTGGATATAAATAAAAGTGAACTTCGTAGAAAATCGGGAAAAACCATAAATATTGATAATTGATATAACGAACAGAATCAATTTATTTTTTCAGATTAACTTTCTCTACTTATTTATTTAGACTAGATTGCGTCATACTCACTTTACAGTCGGGAAGCTAGATACACGTTGTTTTTAAAAGACAACCATAACAATGTGCGCACATTTTTTGACACAATGACCATAAATGTTGGGACCTTTTGGTCTAGTTGCTGAAAGAAACTAGTGATTTTACAGTGATGATGAAGATTTGTATCTTAGGTGAATGATTTTAGTAGTTTCTTCATCTGAACTGGAAAATGTATATTTCACTTCCTGTAATACCCCTTATGTTGGTAGATGCAGACTGTCTGTTTTACATCTTTTATTCTACGAACTAATTCTTTACTCTGGAATCATGTTTTATATTGTTCATCTTTTTTTACTACCGCTGATATTACCATCACTTCTACTACTTTGGTACTAATCTTGATAATTTCATCATCCTCTTCTCTAACTGAAAGAATTCTTTTTGGCTGTATTTTTCCTAACCGAACTGCTTTTCCCATTACTATTATTATTACTTCACTCTCATACATCAATTCCTATTTATAGAACTCCAGGGAAATGTAGGATAATTACATGTGTAACAAAAATAGAAAGATTTTCAGATAGTAAAATGCTGTCACAAAAATAATACCAGACTGCATATGAACTATAAATATTGCATAACTTTGGATTTCATTAAGAAAATGCCATTTTTCTAGTTAGAAGCTATATGTATATCGTTCATTCATCTAATCAGCAACTAATCGTCACTAGATTAAGCTTGACAATCCATACAGCAAAGATGAGACTTTTTAAGATGATGATCAAGAGTTTAATGACCCCTACCCAAAGCGAAATCCCCATAGTAAAACTGACTGAAACCTCAACCTCAGAAAATAAAACCCATTTGACAACCAACCACCACCATTGATGAGGATAGATTACTGTATTACTTTTGTAGAAAGACATTTAGAGCGGAATTGCACTATATGTTTGACGCATTCACGGTAGTCGGATTCAATATCCGTTTCTTCATTACAATGAATAGCATCATAGCACGATAAATAAATAACTGCAAACTGAAAAACTATTCCTGTTGTAAATAATGTTAAGGTAACAGCTTACTACTTTGTACAATATAGCATAAAGCATACATCTGAAAATTAAATGCAGGATACGAAAATATTAAAAACAAATCACTGCTTGTTTTTATCTTTGAATAAAGAAAGGGATTATAAGTGTCAAATTAACTGTTGTAATTTTCTTAAATGATTGTTATAAAAAGTGCAAACATTTCCATTTTGGAATGGGTGTAATAATAAAGATGAAATTAAAGAACACTATAGATAAAATACCTAATACCTTCATTAAGTGAAGTCCTCGAAGAACGATTCTGCAAAGTTAGGTGGATATAGATTTTAAGTAAGAATATGCGTATGATATGAAGTTAGATAGCTGGCTAATATGACAACCTGAAATCTATGGGAACTTGTAGTGCAACATTATTTTAGGTTCAACGCCTACAATCCCTCATATTATCTTTTTGAATAGAAAAAAACTGTGATCCGTGACTAAGCATAGAATGGTTGACATAGGATAGTATAGAGAAGTGTTTAGGGGAATAAGACTACTTAATCTCATCAGGTTACTAGTATGCGAAAACTAAAATTTTATTTTCCGGAACGTTGGTAGAAGTAAGCAGCACAAAAGAAAAGCAAGGTCGCCTTGAAAAACCAGCTAATCGGATTTTTGTCATTTTTGGACAAATTATCACCTAACAGCTGATAAGTAGTAGTTAAGAACATTACTAAAATAACTACTGTGATAATCAAACCATGAAATTCAAAATACAAAAAGAAAACAAATACATGTGTCAAAATGCAACAGTTCTATTTGCCACATTTTGTAAACAAAAAGATCAAGATGAACATTGAAAGTATTAAACCTACCTGAGACGGACGTCCAGAATTCGCGTTGGCAGTGCCGACTGCAGGTGCACTTGAAGTAGTTGGATAGGTAGTGTTGTGACCGGAACTAAGCTGTGGACTAAGATCTAGGAGAGAAGAGGAAAAACGAGAGGTTTGTATAGGGATTTAATCTTTAAAAGTTATAGTTAGAATTGGTACATTAGTGAGGTTCACGAAAAGGTTGAACGGAAAAACTGATAGTGGACAAATTTAGGACGCAATGACCGTCTGCAACTCATTTCAACCCTTTATGGACCTTATTAACTGTATTTGTTTTTTGATGGCAATGTAGTTTTTCAATACGCTTCTCTGAAGAAAAACCATCCAGTTCCCGATTGTTCGCCCAGCCTTAAGCACGATATGGTCATAAATGGATTTTCATCACTACGAACAAACTTAAAGAATCAAAGTTTGAGGCTAGTTTCGAGAAATCACACTTAACTGCTAGTTATTTACCATCATTACGATTAGATTTCTTTTTAATTTCCAATGCCTGCTTCGGTTTGGGCACCCGGGCAGTATCACAGCCCTCACACATATCGAATGAGATTTGTGTGGCACATATGTATTTGGTGCATCCTTGTACCAATATCTATGTGTTAAAATAATAATAATAATAATAATTTCCAATGCCTACTAAGAATGTGCTTTTAAAGTTATGACTGAACGACTGGCGACTAAAGGGTTGATGATATGAAGTCACACTACTTCTACATATTAACCCAATGATAGCTCTACTCATTTTAGTGTAACAACCGCCTGAAAAGTTTCATTAATAGTTAACAATTGCAGTTACTGTATTTTTAATTATATCACCCTAACTTTGCAGTACTTCTCACTGTTGGAGTCGATTTTGCGAATGCGTTTCAGTTCCTTTCTACTTTTGTAAAAAACAAGATTGATTTGTTGCAAAACGACCAATTCGAAAGAAGACACATTCACTAACTTGCATTGACAGTTGTAGACAATTGGGTTGTTATACACATACACACCTATTAGTAGTGTTTTACCTCATACTTAACAAATCTCAGTGAGCAGAAAATAGTCTTTCGATAAGTTGAATAATATTCAGGGACAATTGATGTTGGACAAACTTAGTCTTATTAGTTTGTTCAAGCAATTAAAAATTTAATAGTAGCAATTGTTATATTTCGCAGCCCCGAATCCGCATCGGTTTGTAGGTTATTCAAATATCATAAACATTTTAAGTTGTTACTTGTCATCTTATCAAGACACCTTCAGCTACCAGTCAATTGCAGATGTGGATTAAGTGAATTCACAGGTTTACAGTGAATCAGTAATTTTGTCAGTCAGTCAGCTACAACGTATGACCAGGCACATATATGCATTGGTCCAAGTTGCCACACCTCATTAGCACAAGATGAACACCAAATTCATAGTAGTTACTTCAATGGTAGTAATATATAAAAGAAAGATTGCGTCGAGTCACCTAGACCAGTGACCATATTGCAACTTGGTTGATAGGATTCGATCTACATTAAGAAGGACATGACATACATGACGTTGGTCACCACCCAGTGATCAATCAATTTCAAATACGCCTCAGTCCTACAGGAAGCCAGTTGCTACCCGGATAGCTCAATGGTGACGTCTCTAAGTGTGAATCTGGGTGACACGGGGTCGAATCCGTCAGGGAGCATCAGTTCCCCCAAGATTACAGGTACACCTTCCTGACGAGTGCCAAGTAACACGAAGTTCCTATTGACTATTTCCAACCACCATCTTAAGACTGATGTTGATATTAAGATTTAGATATTAAATAGCTACCTTTACTACCACTACGAATCTTTTAATGATGAAGACTGCCATAATGTTGCAGTGCCTCATTGTGTAAGTCATTGAACTAATAATGTTATGACTTGCCAATGTTTTGAGGACAGTCACTCAATAAAGTACAGAGGTTCACTACAAATGAGTGAATTTTAGTGCCTGTGAATACACGCCAACTCGTAATTTAATATGGGTTCAACTAACAGATAGGTTTGAATGATTTAGTATTTCTAATATATCTCAATATACTCGCCAATCGTTAAACAGGAGATTGAACGAGTTTATTGCGTACGTTTGGAAACAGAACTATTTATTCAGAAATTAAACTACATGAATATCTCTAATATAACTCACTGAGAGGCTGACGACTGCTTCCGCTTCGACGACCAGTACCCCCAAGATTTGAACCTCTCTCCTTTGTTACAATAAAGTAAAATACAAGATTTCGTAAAAGTAATGCAATAATCAATCGCATATATAATAAATCATAGTCTTGATCCTAGACGAATTGTTCTCAAACGAATAAAGGCCAGATAAAAAGTGTTACTTAGTAGACAGAAACGTAAGAGGATGATTACACAGGTACTCATTATAATATATTGCAAAGTAATCCTCTTCTAAAAATAGAAATTCAGTTAGTGTTGAAATCTGAATCCAAACACGATGTCAAAAGCACGACTCAATGTTACAGGTATTGATCAAAATTATTCAAAACCTAAGGGCCTTTAGTTATACAGTCGAAAGACCATCGAATAAATTATCACAGTTGAAATTACGAGTCGATCTAAGCTAGACCACCACTGAAAATCTGGAAGCACTGGACAGCCGTTTCGTCCTATTAAAGGACTACTTAGCAGTGTGTATCCCCATACTAATAATAATCATGTGCTTACTAGTAATTAGCTTTAAGATGGATTTCCTGGAGTTCTAATGAGAAGCTGTGGCAAGTAGAATTCAATCCGTGTCGAGTGTGAGACAGTTATCTACCTGAGACAATGGGTGAAAGGTTGCGCAAGATCATGGACCGACTAAAGTTAGACATTAACACCGTTGGATTTCGGCTCAATGGTCTAGAGGTTAAATATTCGCGTGCGGGTCCGAAGGTCCTAAGTCCGAGTCCCACATGAGGGACCGTGGGTGCGCACTGCTGAGGGGTCCCATACTAGGATGAAATGACCGTTCAATGCTTCCAGGTTTGCAATGGTGGTCTATCTTAGGTCGACTCGTGAATTCAACTGTGACAAATTAAGCAAACTGCATATCCACTTGATATAATCATCTATGCCGAACCTGTCCTAAGAAATACAGGAACTAGATAGGAATGAGTACTGAATGAAATAAAACTAGGTCAAAGTTCTGATAATAAAATGTGCTAATATTTTGAGAAACTAAAGCAAGGATTTGGTTTCTAGTCAAAAACACAGACGCTAGAACAATCTGGCTAGGTCGTCAGTATCAGCCATAGTTTGTAAAACCCATAAACTGTAAACTAATAAAACCAAGAAACAATATGCGTTTTATGGTGTCTAATGATGTTATTCGGCTATTCAGATAGAAGTGAGCGAAACGGGATTCAAAAGTGTCTCAGTAGACGGAAATAAATTTTAATTCACAAACCGTAATCTATTTGGTGAATATTAAAGGTAGGAAATACAAGTCAGTCACAACTAAGAAACTGAACAAGCTTAACTTACTGGGATAGTGCGCATATCGTCATTCATCCTCCAATTGCCATTTTCGTGCCCACCCTCCTAAAAAATCAAAAGTTTGTATATAATACTTTCAAAATGCGTTGCGCCAATCTATTTGTTGACAATGCAATGAATATATGGCGCTGAACTTTTTAGATGTTTACTTTTAAGCACCAGTGTATTATTACGAAAGACGTTATACTTAATGAGAATAAAGTACTACATTAATTGAACAGATCTTTCGGTATCCATATTACTTACGACACTTCAAACAGCCGAAAGACAATGACATTTGTTTGCCCCACCCTACTTACGAGGTGTTCTCTACTTAAAATGCGCACAAAAACCAATACGGCGAAACTATACTAGGTTTTCCTATTCATTCAAGACCTCGATCGATATAAAACCTGAAATTTCGTAATCCTACTTCCTTTGTTTGAAAAAATCTAGACGCGAATCAACCCCTCCAACAAAAACCGGCGAGATCAACCAGTTAGAAACAAAGCCACCAAAACGGAATGATTGTACGCTTGCGGAATAATCAGAAACTTTACTTCTGCATAATGTATGAGTTGATAATGCTGTTTAGAACGACAAAAAGCTTTACAATTACGTCCTCTAGGTCAGAGAACGCAAGTGCTGAAGGCGTTCATCTGAGCTATATTTCTCATTATTATCGACCAACTAACATCGACCCGTGGAGGATGAGGTCGGTCATAAAGTAAACATCCCAACAAAAATCATGGCGTATCTAAATACATTTAACACACTTTTCGAATACAAGAAAACAAAAGCAATAAAATCATGAGAAAAGTGAGACTGATAATTAACTAACAGCGAGTATAGGGACAAATTATTACAACACACTATATCTAATGGTCACAACAGCTTACCTTAGGCTCGTTAAGTTTGCGTCTTTTTTCATCCATAACTGAAGCACTTGTTGGGGTTGAGCTGCTGAGACCCAGATTTCCGCCGGGTGTAGGAGTCATAGGTGGAGGAAGCAATAGGGGATTGGTCAGTGCAGATAAACTCGAATGAGGAAGGCCAGCAAAATTAGATCCTAACTGAATGCCACCTGAGTTGCTTGATCGACCCCCAGCATCATCCGTGGATGAACCGCGACACGGCTGCTGAGAGATCGGTGGAAGAGATGAAGGGGACCTCCCAATATCGCCACCTCCTAGACCCGCACTAATCGGGAATGTGCCTGGAAAGCCAGGAAACTCACCACAACCACCTAACAAACCAGTGATTGGATTTGGCGGTGGAGGGACTAAACACGGGCCGTTACCAGACGAGCGGTTGGATAGCAGGAAACTACCTGCTGCTGCCGCCGCCGCTGCAGCAGCAGCAGCGCGCTGTTAAAAGTAGAAAATTAATACAAAAATGCGTGATCGAGTATCGACTAAGTGTAGTCACGGAGAAAAACCAATTACCTATTCACATGATGAGTGATGAATGTCATTAATCCCCTATCCATTTCCGTTAATATAGCTTCAATGTTAGAAACCAATTCAAGTAGTGTTTTGTACCGTTCGACTCAAAAATGTCAGTGATATGGTGCCCGATGATGTGCATAACAACTTGACACATTTTGCAGCAGTACAAAGAAAAAATTGACCCAGAGTAGAGATAGAAAAATCATCAAGTGGAAAATGTTTAAGCAAAGCGAATACATTTGGGTCACTATGCTCTATTCTTGAAACAAACCATCCAGAGTTTATCAATACAAACTAGGATATCCTTTCATCCCTAGAACCTGATTCAGGACGCCTACTTCCTGTATGTCTAAGATCAGTAGTTGAATACATGGGATTGAACTTTGGTTTAACCATCCTTATCACTAAAATAAACTATACTATTTGCAGGAGCTGAGACTTGCATCAATACTCATTTTACGAGTCGTGACAGAAAAATTGTTCACTAGGCTCTGAAAAGTTAAAACAATTATGTTTAAATCCAGAGCGGAAGCGATAGTATTTCGTTGTGTAACTTGACAGATAAGTGTAGACTGTAGCCACTTAGAATGACACTTACTTGTTTATCTTCACTACTCATTAACTTTTCGGCTTCACGTCCAAGTGGAGATATCCTTGAACCAGAAGACTGTAGCATAAGGGCTCCCGGCCCAACAGATGCTGCACCGGCTGCTGACATCAAGCCATTCAACAGTGCCGCTGAAACTGACGGATTACCAGATGGAGAAAGAGATGGAAGCAAATTGGACGTCTGTGTGTTAGCTGACCCTGACTGGAGAGATCCAGGGGTGCTGGACGATGTACTGCCCGCAGAATGGTTAGAAGTCAAATTAGAAGCATGTAAACCGGAAACGCCTGGGTTAGCACCCCCAATAACAGACAGCTGCTACAAAGATGTATTAATGTACAAAAGTGTACCTTGTATGCTTCGAACTGTTCTAATGGGAGCCCCATATTATTTCCGTTGAAGAACTTCGAGGACTTGACATCTTCTATTTGTGCCTATATATGAGGTGGAATCTAAATGACTGAACACTTACTGCCAATACTGAGTTTAATTCCTGCATTGTCACTTGTTTGGCTCTTTCGATAGCTGAAAGAACCTGGGATTGGTGCTACGAATTCGTGGCAAACATAGAGAAACTTACCTCTTGTGATAGGAATGGCAATACTTGAGTCAAGATAGCGCTTAATCTTTTAGCTATTTCCATCTAGCAAAGTTTACTAAGAGGAGAATGACTTACTTGTCTGTGCATTTCTAGGTTTAAACCATTAGCCATCTCATAATACATTACACAAATTCGTTGCATGTCTGACCTCTCACTGAGAAGCTTTTCTCTTTCCAGCTGCAGCCTAAAAAGCCATTATTGCAAAAAGTGTTCATACGAGTGATTTTGCTGTTGTATACAAGTGAACTCTTCTTTTATTCTATCGCAAGTTTCTACTACAGTAAACTTGCATGAACCCCCCGGCCCAGAGGGCCCTATAATCATGAGTGTGAACTGGGAATACAAATAGGAAGCAAAAACACTGCTTAGCGAAACTTACAGGTGGTCTGCTTGGAAACATGAGTCTTTAAAAAGAGACTGATGTCTCAAAAACGAAAAGTCCACGATCCAAACAAGAGACACAAACACAGACGAAAAGATAGATTCAACAAGACGTGTGGAGACTATTTCGTCCTTCAATGTTTCATGTACAGGTAATTGTGATAAATTTTCTATGCGATTCCATGGAACAATTTTGACCATTCAGAATATATTTTGATATATACATCGGGTCTTATTTTAAGTAGTTGAAAAAAGACATAAACGTCCATTTCGGAAAATAATATGGATTCAAATTTCCAGATCTAGTTTCATGAAAAAGGAGGCTTCCTTGATATGTCTAGTTATCTAACGAATAACCTAACTGAAGGTTTGAACGCTTTTGTTATGTCCGTATTTTCCAGAAACGGAGAAAGTAGCTCTTAACATGGGTGTTGTCTGTCCTATGTCTCATTATTTCTCATGTAGCGGTAAATAAATCCCCAAAATAAATAGCACTAAGTTTTCGACATTGGATGCTGACCATATGTTTTAGTGGACTCATCTAGCTGAAGGCGCTCGGTCAGGCATCCGCACCAGATCACGTGTGGTAACGCCGTGCTCAACATCAACCACAATCGCTAGCCAGATTAGATCAGAGAATCCCGATATATTGGTCATCGCCAAATATACTCTTCCGATCTCCTCGACTCTGTCTTTTGATTTCTCTTGGTGGGAACGAAATATATTAGAAGGTGTTACTGGTAGAAGCGTTGTCAAACACTGAATACCTGTGACATCATCATTGGTGAGACCGTCGTGATCTGGTACACCTTATTGCAACTGTGAGTCTGTTCCTTTTTGGGATTTTTATATATCATTGCCTTATTTTTTATTTTTTTTAAACATTGTGATTTTTTTCGTGTTTTTCTTGGATATATATATATTTTCCCCTCGTTCATTATCGTACTTCATATTTCATCATGACTGAACAGACACCTAAAGTACTCAAGCTTAAGACCTTGTCCCCACCTTCGTTTCAACTGATGCCTTTCTGGCCCGACAACATCGAAGCCTGGTTTTGCTACGCAGAAGCCGACTTTTCCGAGCACGGCGTGATCGACACACGTGCACAATTCCTCGCAGTAGTCAAGGCACTACCGCGCGAATTCAACAGGTACGTAACACCTAGTATGTTTACTAGTGATGTTTCCGATCCTTACGAAATCTTAAAACGCTCGATTCTTAAACGAGGAGACCTAACCGATCGACAAAGGTTAGATCAACTCTTCAACAATATCGACCTGCAACACGGTTCTGCGACGGACATGTTGCAACGGATGAGAGAGGTTATAGGCCCAAGAACTTTCGACGAAGGTCTATTCAAACAACTCTTCTTGTCAAAACTTCCCCAACAGGTGCAAGCAGTTCTGGTCTCGTTCCAGAACAACGCCTTAGACGAACTAGCTGTATCTGCCGACCGCATTCTAGAAATTACGAAACCTTCTACTACCGAGGTATTTTCAGTCAAAGAAAAGCCTCACACGACTCAGAATGACATAACCGACTTATGTCACACACTCACGCGTTATCTTAGTCTTCGTACCGACCGTAAGAGATCGCGCACACCACGTAGAAGCATTTCTCGTAAGCGATCTGTCTCTAGACCACGAGAGACAGATAACCCCGACTGGTGCTGGTATCATAACCAGTATGGAAAGTTTTCCAGAAATTGCAGAAAACCCTGCAATTTTCCCAACACGAAACCGACTGATTCGAAAAACAATTCGGGAAACTTCCAAGCCGGCACGCGTTAACGGCAACCGTAGCCGGCGAACAAAGCCGTCTGTTATTCGTCACAGATGTGACAACGAGAGTTCGCTACCTCGTCGACACTGGCGCAGAAGTTAGCGTTCTCCCAGCAAATCCTAACGACCGACTTCACGAATCGACCCTAAACTTACAGGCGGCAAACGGAAAACCGATCGCTACGTATGGCAAAAGGTACGTTTACCTTAACGTGGGTTTACGCAAACCCATCCACTGGATTTTCGTCGTTGCAGATGTTTCTATGCCAATCATTGGTATGGACCTTCTACAACACCACAATCTGATCATCGACACTCGCAAACGGAGGCTAGTAGACGGAAACACTAATTTGTCCGTTTGCGTAACTTCTTTTACTGGTTGTAGAGTATCCCCAGTCACAGTTAAACATATGATAGACCCACTCTATCAACCACTACTCGATAAGTACCCTGGGATACAACAAACTCAACCGAAACTACCGTGTGTAACCAGCAATGTTACACATCACATCACGACTACAGGACCACCTGTATTTTCTAAAGCACGACGACTAGCTCCTGAAAAGCTAAGGTTAGCGAAAAACGAATTCGATCACATGATGGACTTAGGAATCATACGACCGTCAAGTAGCCCATATGCATCTCCGTTGCACATGGTCCCTAAAAAGGACAGCAACGATTGGCGTCCAACTGGTGACTATCGGCGATTGAACGCGAAAACCATTCCCGATCGTTACCCGTTGCCTCACATTCACGATTTGACAGCTACCTTGAAAGGTACAACTGTCTTTTCGAAAATCGACTTGGTTAAAGCGTATAACCAAATCCCTATGGCTACTGACGACATACCGAAAACCGCTATCATAACTCCCTTCGGACTCTATGAATTTTTGCGAATGCCTTTCGGTCTAAGGAATGCTGCTCAAACATTCCAAAGATTCATAGACGACGTTTTTCGAGGTCTCAACTTCGTACACGCGTATGTTGACGACTGTCTAATCGCAAGTCCGGACAGAGAAACACATCTCAAGCATCTGGACCTTGTTTTCGAACGATTACAAAAACATGGCATAACTGTAAACGTTCAGAAATGCCAATTTGGAACCGACTCGTTAGACTTTCTGGGACACACTATCGATGCTCAAGGTATCCGACCCCTTAGAACCAAAGTGGCGGCCATTCTGGATTACCCAGAACCGACCACCGTCAAGCAATTACGCACGTTCAACGGCCTGGTAAGTTTCTATAGACGTTTCATACCCAAATGCGCATCACTTATGAAACCTCTGACCGACCAACTTCGTGGAAATGCGAAATCCATTAATTTGGACGACACCGCACGAAAAGCATTCTCCACAGTCAAGGAACTGATTGCTAAAGCAACAATGCTCGCACATCAGGACACCCGAGCACCCATTAGCATCGCAGTAGACGCATCCGACTCAGCAATCGGAGGAGTCTTACAACAATGGGTTAACAACTCCTGGCAACCCTTGGCATTTTTCTCTAGAAGGTTGCTAGACACCGAATCGAGGTACAGCACATTCGGTAGGGAACTCCTAGCTATGTATTGTGCTGTACGGCATTTCCAACACTATATCGAAGGCCGTGAATTCACTCTTTTCACGGACCATAAACCGCTCACTTTCTCGTTAAGCTCTCCTTCTGACAAGTACTCTCCCCGTGAGTCTCGACAACTGGACTACATTTCGCAGTTTACTTCAGATATTCAACACATCTCTGGAGCAAACAATGTAGTTGCAGACGCTTTATCTCGCATAACTTCCTTGAACAGTTTCCAAGGAATCGACCTTCTTAAACTCGCCGAGCTTCAAAAAGAAGACAGTGATCTTCAGCACGAGTTATCGTCCACAACACTTAAACTACGCATCAAACAGATGGGAACAGGTAAGGAAACCTTACTTTGTGACACATCTACAGGTAGGGATCGCCCAATCGTGCCGAAACATTATCGACGCAATGTCTTCAACACATTGCACAAACTTTCTCATCCAGGTGTTCGTGCAACCATCAAGCTTATAGCAGAACGATTTTGCTGGCCTGGCATGAATAAAGACGTGAGGGAGTGGGCACGCTCCTGTGTAAGCTGCCAAAAATCTAAGGTTATCAGACACAATAAATGTCCCTTAGGCTCGTTTAAAACTCCCGATGCTCGTTTCGACCATGTTCATCTGGATTTGGTAGGACCTTTACCAGATTCAAATGGATACTCTTATCTCTTAACCTGCGTAGACCGTTTCACTCGATGGCCAGAAGCAGTACCTATCAAGGACAGCACTGCTGAAACAGTGGCCCGCACATTCGTCGAACGATGGGTAGCAAACTTCGGTTGCCCTTCAACCATCACTACAGACCGCGGACGTCAGTTTGAATCTGATCTTTTCCGTCGTCTGACCACACTTTTAGGAATCACTCGCTTCCGAACGACCGCCTACCATCCCCAAGCAAACGGGTTGGTAGAACGTTTTCACCGACAACTGAAAGCTTCGCTATCAGCTGCAAACGTTTCACAATGGACCGACGCTCTTCCACTCGTCTTACTAGGTATCCGCAATGCAGTGAAAGCTGACATTGGATACACTGCGGCTCAACTCGTTTATGGAACGACACTTCGACTTCCAGGAGAATTCGTGGATCCTTCGTGCTCTTCGATGAACATGGATCTAACCTCCTACACGAACAGGCTTACAAACGCAATGCGTTCAGTTAAACCTGCTTCCACTCGACCTCAATCAACTGATGTTTTCGTTCAACCTGACTTACGATATAGTACACACGTTTTCATTCGTCGAGACTCGCATCGACGACCATTCGAATCAGCATACGAAGGACCCTTCAAAGTTCTTCAACGTGAATCTAAGTACTATATAGTCGATAAGAACGGAACCAACGATAGCATCAGCATCGATCGCTTAAAAGCAGCGTATTTAGAAGGAAATCCTATCCACGTCGATTTTCCTTCGGTACAATCGAACGACACGACTCAGACACTAATAATACCTCATCCGACAACCAACACACACGAAGATACTTCGACAGTATCCGAAAATAAACTTAAAACGACGCGTTCTGGAAGAAGGGTGAGATTTCCAGAACATTTAAACGACTATTGCACGTAAGGCACTTCTCGACATTTTATATTATTTTTTTTTAAAAAAAAACAATTTTAATATGCTTATATATTTTTATTTCTATTAAAAAAAACAAAACAAAAAAAACAATTTTTTAACGCTATTACGTGCTCATGAGTTTATTTTCCTTTTTTTTCCGCCGACCTTGTGTTTTT